AGCACATCCAACGTTCTTAATTTGATTCTGTGCGCTAAAACCTCTTTCACAGCCAGCCATATTAGTAGGCAATACAAGTGCGACTTGACAAAGCTTAATTAAATTTTGGACTTCATCGCTATGATGGGTAGCAAGCATTTTCCATAGTTCAGCAATGTGGCCCACGGGTAATGCTCTCCAACAACCAGCCCTTTAACAAAGTTCCATTCAATTCTGCATTTTTTGACATCCACAACTGCTGGTACATCTTTACCACCTTAGGTTCCTTTGCAGATCCATAATGGGAAAGCAACGTTTCCAGCTCTTCATTTCCGTAGGTTGACAGATTTTCATTTTGAAAACGCACATTGTGGAGACTAAGAATCCCGAATGCTTTAACTACAATTTGTGGAATCTATGGGGAATCTCTTTTCAAGATTTAGTAAGACATTGTCAAGGAATTTCATTTTCATTGATTCAAATTGTTGAATTTCACAGGCATGCAGTCACTTTAGTAGTGTTCTCTCGACTCCATTTAACTTCTGAAACATCATCTTATGATGGCAAAATCTCGGACGAGAATTTGCCGTTGTTACTCTTAAGAGCTGTTATTTGAGTAATAGTTGATTTCACCTGTGCCTGAACTGATGCAAGCTCTACATGTTCCTTTTGTAAAGCAAGGCTTATGAATGTGAGAATAAGAATCACATCCATCATCATGCAGAGGGTGGCAATGATATTGAACTCCTTCAGGCTCTTTTTGAATCCACGGGGGTGGTGTCGGGATTCCACATAGGCCGGAAGAGACGGCCGAGTGCGGTACATTGTCTCCAGAGCACCATAGAATGAAAGCCACCTGATATCAAACACTTCCTTGATTTCTAGCTCAGGATGTTCAAAGATCGTCTCAAATTCTGCTAGTGACTGGAGGGCAGACTTGTCAAAGTAGCGGTACAGATCAGTAAGGATCTCTTTGAATTTTGCCAAATAAGGAATACCATTAGCTGCTTGGCTTGTGCAAAGTGCAAGCCTGTGAGCCATGCAGTGGATAGACACAAGAAATGGACTATCGTCCTTCATTTGTTTTGAAACTCCATTGTTTTTTCCTCTCATGACACTCGCTCCATCGCTGCCGAATCCTGTCATTTTGTCTTTGTGCAAGTTTCTCCTTTCCATTTATTTAGCAAGTTAACAGCAGTGGTAATAGTTTCGGCCTTTCCATCCTGAACGTTGATGTTTTCTAAAATGTGCAGTTTTGGTTTAAATTCATTCAATAACTTAACATAAAGAAGATCTTCATGATTACTGAAGTCTGTTGATTCATCAATTAACAGAGAAAAGAATGGGCTGGCTTCTACTAGTTTGTCAATGTTAGACTTCAGAACAGTAGCAATAGCATCTTGCATACCTTCGACACTTTGATGAGATTGGTAGGTAGCATTTCCTCCTACTCGAAGATTCTTAACACTTTCGAAGCCAACTTCATCCAGAAAATTGAGCAGTGAGTCGTACTTGACTGTTGCTATATCCTCCTTGGCCAGCTGAACGTATCCCTCATAGCTTCTTCACTAACAGCATCCTCATGTTCTTTACAGTCTTTGCAGAGTTGAGGTTCTAAAATTTGTACACCCTTCTGCCGATGCAAAGGGGTTTGTCTTCTTAGATTTCCGGCAAAAATAGCAGAACATCGCCTCCTTTTCATAGCGCAACCATGTGTGATCTTGCAACCAGGTTTTTCTGGAAAGTTCATGACTTTTTCGGTTTCCTTTGATCCTCATCCGTTTCTTCCGGTTCTTCTTCCGTGCCAGTTTTTGCAGATTCACGCTGGCTTCGATTTGGAGCTGAAAAGCTCTCTAATGTTCGAACACGTTTTTGATGTGACATGTTACACACCAAATGTAAAGTTCACCACGCTTGGTTGAGCATGAGACGCACGTGTCCAGTTGAGCGTGACTGCAGAAATGTGACTTTAGAATGAACTTTTTGAAACGTGCGATAAAATATTCTTTTCATGTTCTGTTTTAGATGTGGCTAGATTTCTGTACTGAACTAAATCTCTTTGTGTGTGCTTCCTTTCGACCTTTTTCCCTAAATTTTGAAGGCGACAAATAATTGTCCCTTTGGCCATTTTTTTAAGGGACAATTTTGATTGCAGTGCGGGATTGGCACAATGGCGTGGCCTGGCTCAAACCCTGCTAAAGTGGCCACCTCTCCTTAATAGCAGAGTAGCCATTTTCTTGACCCATTTTTAATCCTTGTTTTACACTATTACAACAGATTTTTAATCATTACAACAATTGGTAATTCAGTTTTCCTCAAGGTTGCAGTGGTTTTGGACTGTATACATGAATGATGGTCATGTTTATGTACATATTAAAAAAGCCAAAAGTAGCTCCTACAACACTTGCTGATTCAATTTTTTTAAGTTATGAGGGGGGACACGGAAGATGTGTCTACTAGCTTGGTCAAGACTCAGCCTCAGTTATCTTTTAAGTGAATTACAAACTGTTTCTGGAACACCCATAATTGTTCATTCCAGCAGAAACACAAACCTGTGTGTTTACTTCATTGCAATTTGTACAGTTTGCTTTCAGTATCCTGTATATATGTTATTAAGTTTTCATCATGTAGACTTTATTACTATAACCATTACCTCATAGGTTCACACTAATATGACTGTTTTATCTTAAAAAATCAGGAAATGTTCAAAAGAATACAGAGGAAATATCAACTACAGTAACTCATATTACCCACACAGAAATACTAACAGTTTATAATCCTTGTGTGCTCATTGAAAAGATTAAAAGGTTTAACAAAAGAGCTATTAAGTGTCTGTGTAATAGGAAAATAATTTTATGTTTGTTAATGTGATTTCCTTCTAACATTTATGGAAACACCATGGACAATTACAGTTTGCACTTAGGGCTGTGAATATTAATGCAAAATGTAGCTTTCGT